TGTATAGAGCAATTTTTCTTATACATTAGTTGTAGATGCAGTAGACAAAGGATATAAGGAAAGCAAAGGAGCACTGTAAACTGACGTGAATAGATGAAAAGTTTTTTCATTTGTTCATTAATGGCCGTACCTGCATTGTGAACATGAAATTCTGTCACAGCAGCCTAATATCTACCTGCATCCAAGGCACGTCTTACTGTAGTTGTTGTCACAGCCAATTTGCTTCACAAAGCTCCTGTTTCTGAACAGTCTTTGCTTTTATAATTTCATAGGCCTGATAAAGCAGCACAGTGATCATGATCAGGTGTTCCTACATAACTCTGCATTTTTTTGGAGGGAATAATCATTTTTTTTGCTGTTGATTTCTTGTTAGCAGTTTTAAAATCAATTCTGGATTGATGTTGTGGCTTTAACTACAACAATCACCAAAAAAAAAAAAAATAATCAGTCACCAGACAGCACTTTGGGACTAAAAAGGACAGGCAGAACTGTGAGACAAGGGCTATGTAATGTCTGACTGTGATACAGTGTTGACACAAATACTCATAAATTCTCTTTACAGCCCTATAAAGTTGGCAATGATTAATGTAAAGCTTATCAAAAAGACTTTAGTTCAAAGGACACTCCTAATTCAAATTGGGTCTGCTAACATTTTTTTTCTGTAGTCAGTTCTAAGTTGCACCAAAAAGCAGAGTACTGCCACACCAATGTGACTGCAGTTAATCACATTAAAAGCGCATCACATATTTTGCACTTGATGAACTTCATAACGGATAGGTCTGATGACAAAAGAACAGACCCATTCTGTAAGTACATTTATTTGAGAAAGCATAGGAACATCATCTCTTTCTGCCAATTCTGCTGATCCAGTCTTGCCCACAAATGGAGCTGTAATGAACTCTTCAGTAAACGGCTGTGGCTGTTTGGCTGCACAATGCCACCCAGTGGACACTCGGCATGGTGCAGTGGCTTGGCTAGAGCACGGCTCTTATAAAAGCAAATAGCCCCAGGTTCCACCGAAAGAAATCGAATCTTTTCCCATTATTACATTTATATTTTACCGAACACTGCTTACTACGTACTTCCTGCCCTGCAGTGATAACTGAACGATGTTCAACGTTATTTTTTTTTGTACCTGCAGGTTAAAGCTTTTTCCTGTGGATTTATTTGATCTGATGTTCCTCCCCCGCTTTTTCTTTTCTGAAGAACTTTGCCAATATTTATGTAGTGTGTCTCTATTGCTTCTTAGTCATTCATTGGTGATGGGAAAGATGTGAATCAGGTTGGCATAGGCTGCCCAGAGAGGTGCTGCAGTCACCGTCCCATGTAGATGTGACACTGAGCGACACAGTTAGTGGGCACAGTGGGGATGGGCTGACAGTTGGACAGGTGATCTTAGTGGTCTTTTGCAACTTTAATGATTCTGTGATTCTCAGAGACCCTTTCTGATTTAGGATAGTGGCACCAGCAAGCCTCCCCTAGATCTATGAAGTAGAGATCAGCTAAGGTGCCTGAAATGGCATTTCCTTAGTACAAAAGAGCTGCTATTAAATGTGCACAGCCACGTAGGACTCCAATTACCTGGCCTATTATTTCTAGGATCTGTTAGAGTCTGTATTTGTATACTCACAGGAGGCTTCCAGCTGCTGGGCATTTCTTTTCCTACAAGGAGGTTGTAGGGAGGCATGGGAGAGGGTGCAGAATGACAGATGGGTGTCTGTAGGAATGTCCCAGTGTTCAGAACAGATGGCTGCTTACAGTGGAATGGTACCAGCAACTGCAGGTGTGGTACCATGTGAAAGGCATGCAGCTTATGCTTCTGCAGTACATAGAGATAAAAGCAGTCAGCTCTGACTTTCAGTTCTAGTTGAACTTTCCTTTGCTTCTGAGTCCAAGTGAGAATAATAGGTGCGCTCCTCTTCTAGGGGAACACATTTGGTACTGTGTACCACGAGTAGTAAATTAAGCCCATCTAAGAAATGGATATATTTTATGTTCAGGTATGTTTAGCTGGGAACAGCTGAACATTGGTTGTGTTCTGTGTATGGCAACCTGTGGTGCAGCTGGTCAAAACATAAGGTGACAGTGGTGAAGAATAAAGGAAACTCAACCTCATCCCCTGGCTTGTTCTAATATATATATATATATATATATATTTTATTTTTTTTTTTTGTATGGTCGTGCTTCTGTTGACTGTTAACAGCAGGACTTTTTTCATGGTGTAAATGTCATCTTTAGAACAAAGTGACAACCACTGAACAGTTAACTTTGATTTTTGGGAAATGTCAGTCTTTAAGGAGTCGGATGTGACTGTATTACAGTGTTTTTCTTCCTTCTCCATTCAGGCTGAAAAAGTTGAAGTGCTGAATTACTGATGAGGTGGAGAGGAGCAGGCAGATCTCTCTGCTCCAAAAGAAATTCCAAAAGCTGGTAGTGAAAATGAACATGATTTGTATTTTCAGTGCCTTAGGAGAAGGAAAAGCCATCTACATCAGTACTTATTAGAGTAGCCCTGAAACCCAGAGCACAGTCTGCCTCTTAGTTCAGTGCTAATTTATGCACTTTTTGAATTTTTCTTTACAGGGGGCACACAATACGATCGTGATCATGTTGTTGTCAACACAGTCAACGAAGAAAAGTTAACACAGTGCTGGGAACCACTGGTTGTGTAATTCCAAATGAGTAAGGTGATGTCTGAATTGGGCACTGTTCTGGACGCTAGAATTGGCACTGCCAGCTTTGAAGGATGCATGATCAAGAGTTCTGTCTTTTCAGCTTTACAAAGAACAAGCAACAGAATGATTTCATATCTCTCTACCGAATATAATTATCCCTATAAAAGCTTGGGTATCTCTCAACCTTTTTTTAAATCATTGCAACTCTGTGAGATAGAGAACAGTAGCATGCTTCAGAGCAGTGGGGAAGAACCAGAGGTGGGGGAGGCCCCAGAGTTACAATCACATCAGTGAGTACTTAATCCAGAACAGTCAAGAAGTGTAATTTTAAATTATTTTTAAAGGTGTTTTTTTTTTTTTTAACTAAGGGCTAAAATAATTAAAGCTTATTTTATAAAGGACAGGAGTGCAATGTGTATACAGTATAGCAATTTAGGCCTATTGGCTGATAGCATAGAAGAATATTCACTACTGAAAATTTAATATATTTGTCTCACTGTAACAAACTTATGTTTACAGAAAGCTTAAGACCACTAGCAAACAGCAGATCCAAAGAATGTGTGGTTTCAAATATAGTTAGTATGCTAAAGTAGTAAGTCCTAAATTAAGAAGAAAAATAATCTAGATTTTCTCATGTAGAGGGAGGATATAAATGAGTAGATGGTTGTTAGAAAAAGAAAGGGTTGACAAAAGAACTTATCAGAATGTGAAGAACTTGCCTGCCCATTTCCTAAGCTGCCTAATTTTTTTGTTACATATATTTGACTTCTTTGCCAATACATTTTCTCTTTTGAAATAGCTCCAGTAAGTACAGTCTTCCTGAACTCTAGAATCATTTCCTATATAGAAAAAAAGAATTCTTAAGGAAACTATCAATAACCATGACTGCGAAAGCACCTAAGCACACTGTGGTTACCAAGCCTTTTGGCCACCAACTTTTGGCCTATGCTCTGGCTTGCTGTGTTAGTTTTCCATGCTAATATTGGCAGAAAAGTAAAATATGAAAAAACTTTTGTACTATGCTGCTGTGTTTTGTTCTGGCTTAGCTCAGTGTTATTACATGCTGCTCCCAGGAGCACCTAGGCCTTTGTCTTGCACAGTAAGTCTGTTCAAAAGTAACATTTTCATTACTATTGTGTTGCCTCAAAGGACACTGGTGCTTGCATTGTCACCAGCCCAGAGGAAGTGCCTTACTAATAATTTTCCTCTTTCTGTACAGAAGTACTGAAGTTTTGTTGCTCTGAAATGTGCTGCTTTTAGTTCTTCATAGAAGATACGTTGTTATTGGTTCCAAATGTGCTCTTGCTATATGTAATATAGCATTTCACAAATAAATTTAAGTTAGATAATAACAACTTACTGAAATTATTTTCACGTTAGAAAGGTGACATTTGGCAGTTCTGCTTCTATCTTGTGATCTTCTCTGGCACTAATTCCTCTGCTACAGCTGCAGGCTCTGAGGAAGGGGTGCTTCTCCTGTATAAACAGGTGCTCACTGCACAGGGGTCTGCATTAGCACATGGCTGCTGCTTCTACCCCTGTAATGCACTGCATGGTGTGGTTTTTCCATGGCCATAGCTGCACCACAGGAACTGTGCAGCTCTCAATTAGGAGGTTACTATTTCCCTTCCATCTACCTGTGCAGCTGCAGGTAAGTAACTCACGTGTGTCTCTGACACAACAGTAGTGTTAAAAACAGACCAACAGCTTCAAACACTTCAACAGCATCAGCTGTGATAGGGGGCAGGACTGTCCTGCATGAACACTACAGTCAGCTGAATTGCTATCAAGAGTCAGGCAATTGGAATAATTATCACTTACAGTGATAATTACAGTGATTTTGTTCTGTGCTTCTACTCAGATTAGTTATGCCATGAGAGATTTGATCAAAGTACATCAAAGTTGAAGTACAATCTTGAGCCAGCAATGCAACCATTTCCTACAGAAGTTAAGTTTTGAGAATGAACCAGACTGAGTTGTTATACATGTTACGTATATTAATAAAGGCAAACAAAAACCGAGGAAAGGAGAAAAGAAAGAAAAGGATGGCATGGGTTCTACATGGACAATCAGATGACAGTGTCTCACCCTTGCAATATTTAGCTAGAACCACTCAGAGAACAGAGCTCCAAACTCAAAATGCTGCCAGGCTTCTTGGGTTCCAACACTTAGAGTTGTTACTTTTGCAGGATATGCCTATTTGTAAAATGGTTTTTATGTACAATTACCTGAAGAGACATTGGTATTTCTTATCTGTGTATTAACACTTTTTGTAACAGACAGTGTATGAAAGGAACCAAAGAGGCTATTCTAAAACAAAACAACTTTTTAAATGATTCATTTTTTAATTGCTTTGTAAGGAGAAACAGATGCTACATACCAGTTCAGATTCAAGTGTCATTTACCAGCTAAGCATGTGACTGAAGGCACAACAATGATTAGAATTGCTTTATTTTTTATTAATGACATCAATCACTGTTTTTCCACGTGCATGTCCTTCTTCTAGTTTCAGAAAGGCCTTTGGAACTTCAGAAAAGGGGAAGACTTCTTGGATAACTGGCTGAACCTGCAGAATAAAGCATCACTGCATTAGGAATAAAATGACATTGTTTTAGCACCTTCACACTGTTTAAGGAAAGGAGAAGGATTTTTAATAGTACTTAAGGCAGAAGTTGCTCAGTGCAGTCAACACCTTTTAACTTCTTTTCAGGGACTGTTCTGCATGCAGGACAAGGGTTTTTGCTTTCTCCCCATGTTTTGAAATGCTTTTAATAGCACAGCTCAGAACCCTAGCCTAGGAAAAAAAAATAAAGCATGGTGCAAAGCTTTAACCTCCCATGTATCTATATGGTTTTCTTGTTAAACCAAGAATCTTTCAAGAGTTGCAGTGTTTTAAGATATTTTTGGATCTAGTATCTTCAAAGGACCTGGCTACAAATGAAGTACAAAGAGAAAGTACACTGTTGCTGAATCATTTGGATACACTTGAAAACTCAGCCCTGTGTCTTCATGCTGGCATAGATCATGAAGCCTGGCTAGCATCCACTGCTATTCTGGCATTAATTTTGCAGAGTAGCCTTCTGGATTGTTTTAGAGCAATCACTAATAATGAAGGTGAAGACTACCAATTCACTGTGCCCACCAGTGATTAAGGAGCCAGAAAACCCCACCAGCACTTTCTTTAGCTATTGCAGTATGCCACCAGAGGGAGAAGAAATCCCAACTGTTTCTGAAAATTATTTTTTACCATGTTCTGAATCACCCTTCCAGAGGCAACAGTAAGCTCTGTCTACACAACTGCTGCCAGAGCACCCATCCTGAGGCAGGGCTCTTACCTTATATCCCCTCCTATCAGGCCAGTACACACTCTTCCTTTGCTGAACTGATCCTGCTCATCTTAGCAGTGGACATAAGCAACAGATGAGTGTGCAGCCAGCTCTTTCAGTAATAGAAATTTTAAGAATCAAAGATCCAAACACTCTTCTTACTGCACTAGAAAATATCCTTCTTACTTATATCACTGAAAAATATTTTCAGGCCTTTTCCCTGCAGGTACCATCGGGCACACTTATCTTGCTTAGCACTTCTAGAACAGGTAATGGCCTTCTCAGCAGGACATGTGCTTTGCCAGGAAAGGAAATGAGACAAGTGTGTCAATCAGAGCAGTGCCTTCTTTCAGAAGCTTTCTTTTACCAGAAGGTGGAGTAGCTGCTGCTCAGAACACAGCGCTACCAAGGAAAGGTCTCTCACAACACACATTTCCCAAGCTGGGTTCTAGGCATCCAGCACCCTCCCCAGCAGCACAATTGCAACCCAGAAGTTGTCTACGCACACATAAACATGCTCTTCTCATTTATCTTTATTACCTTCAAGTCCAATTATTGCACTAGAGTAACTACTACTTTTTTTGTTTTAACAGTAGTTTAAGACAACAATAACCAAACTATTATACTGCTATCTTAATTTTGTTTCTAAGGTTCTCTATTATGTTGATGCATGCCTAACAGAAATGTCACATGGCAGAAAAGTAGGAAGGAGCGAATCCCTTCAAAGATAAAGAACTTGCAGCCAGTTCCTACAGAAAGCAATTGTGCCAATAAATTCACTAAGTGCCTTCAGTCTGCCAGGCTGCAGGGCAGGAGGCTGGGTAATGCCTTTCCCTTGTTTAATCACAGCGATCTCTGCAGCCACACCCCAAAGCAAAGGCAGGAGTAGAAAGCAACAAAAGGGACAGAAAGATGCTGTTTAACACTGCTGCTCAACCAGGAAATAGATGTGGGTCATAACTAAGTTCAAGTGAAAATCATGTTTAATACAGAATGAAAACATCATCTTGAGCATCGGCAGCCAGGGACACAGCCTCAAAACCACTTGCATGGGATGCCTGTGGGTAAAGTGAGCATCAGAGTAAACTGCAGCTGCCGTGACAATCAGCAGGAGGAATGTGCTGCTCTTCAGTCACTGTTCTAAAGATCAACCCTTGCTTTCATAGCAGAAGCCTTCAAAAAAAAAAAAAAAAAAAGAACACCAACAATCCAGTAACTCTGGTGATCCAAGCACACGTGCAGCGCTTGTACAAGCAATTACTGTTAATGGCAGCAGAGATGTGCTTCAGTTCAGAAAAATAACAGTAAGGAAACACATGGACACAGCTGACCCTCATAGGGCAAGGGGCTGGGAGGAGGGAAGGAGATCACAGGAAGGATGCAGTTCAGCCACGTGGCATTGCGAAGCACAGGGGTGCCAGAAGTTTGCTTCAGACACATGCAGTAATTGTGCAAAAAGAAGAACACTTTCAACATTCTGCTACCTGCAGTCCTGTACTGTGGGTTGCAGCTTACAGCCCTGACGGAAGTCCCCCTTAGGTGAAGTTCAAAGCATCACGTGTGAAAAAGCATCACACAGGGATTCAGAGGAACCCCAAGTTTAGCCCACAGTTCAAAACACCATAAGCACTGCAAGCACCAAGCACTGAAAGCCCATCTGCTACATTGATGTAACCTCTAGTTCCATTTAAACGCCGGCTTTAGGCAATGCTATAGAGAGACATGAATACTGAATTGATGATCCTGACAATCTAGAGCATTAAACATTTTATCTGGCTGGCTGCTCAGCCCCATTGTTTGAATAACCCCGAAAGGGCTGACCATGTCACAGCACAGTGATTCACTCAGCCTTTACCATAATCCACTGACTAAGATAAAATTTCTTCCTGTGAACAGACAAACAAGCAGGGATGTGTCTGCTATTTGTTGAATGTGTGATAAAAAAAAAAAAAAAAATGGAGATTAACTGGATCATACAAACACTGCCTATTTACAGCCACACATCAGTTCTTTGCCAGAGGACACCTATTTGTTCAGGGAAAAGGGATTAAACTAAAGTCTGAGAGAGAAAGGATTATACACACCTGCACTGAAATGTTTCCCTGAAAACAGACTGGGGCTGAAAGGTGTTTTCCTCCTCTCCATTCTCTCTGATGTAGAACATATTAGAAATGAATCTAGGTTTCTTAAAATGAACTTTGTGTTTCAAAAAAGAAAAGAGTCGCAGTTGATGCTGATTAGGGCTGTCCTACACAGAGCACAGGAGCAGCATTGCACCCCATCCCACTCCAGTCTCAGTCCAGACACAGCAGAGCCTGTCAGGAACCAATTCCTGTTAGTTTGTAGCTGCTTCCTGCCACTGGAGAGACAGCGCTACAGCCTACCAAACCTCAGAGATCCACAGAGCAACCTTAGCTCAACAACAAAAAGAAAAGTTTTCTCACGCCAAGAGCAATGACACTGCATTGGCTCTTCCCCAGGCTCGTGAAGGGTGGCTGTGCACACACCACAGGGCAGTCCAGCTTTGCAGAGCCTCCCTCTCAGCTGCCATCTCCTCATCCATGAGAATTATGTCTTGGCTGTGATTCTGGGCATGGCTCGTGTGCATGCTCTGCACAGGGCACTCCCATGTGCACAGAGAGAGTTGTGATGTGTTCCATCAGTCCTCAGAATCCTCAAATTCTTTCTTTAATGGAAAAGACCACTGCACCATTTAGGCTTACCTGAGCTGGAAGGTAAAGGACATGACCACAATGCCTAGATGCAGTGTAGGAGCCAACACACAAATGCAGCACTTGATGCTCTGCTTTGGCCTTCAGTGAGTATCCCTTCATTGTCAATGAGAGACTTGAACAGAACTCATAGCCTGCATCCCATAATTAAACATGCAGTTATCTGCTCAATATTTCATTGCCATCTTGTGGAAAAAAAATGCCTACTCCCATGGTCCTTTTACAAACAATTGTGTTACCAGACACTCTTTGTTAGTTTGTCAAGCCAAGAAGCATTCTTTAATATCAAGCATGTAACAGCAGCTCACAGTAATTCATAAGTATTAAATACAATTATTAAAATGCTAGAAGATAAATCCCAATTAAGCAGGCTATGGTTCAGAGTAGAAGAGGTGTAAAAATCTCATGTTCCTTAATTGGCCTTGGCAGCAGCTTCTACAGAACACAATAAGGAGCCATAAGAAACTGGAACAAGCCCAGAGGGACAGCATGTGCCAGGCTAGCCCAAGTTTAAATCAGTAAAAGCAAGGAAGAAGATCCTGGGTTTGGTTACTACTGAACTGTGCTGAAAAATTGTTAAGTAAAGCAAAATGCAATTCTGCCTTCAAGAATTCCCTAGCAGTTATGTTCATGGCAGCAGTTCTACTGTTTTTGCTGTTTATTATACTGATCTGGGGCAACACGACCATATCAACAAGACAGAACAGACTTTACTACAGTTGTACAAAACATCTGAAAGCATATTACGTGTTCTACAAATAGCATAAAAATATCTTTGTCTGATCTGCATCATCTTCTGTCTCAGCAAACTCAACTCTCAACAGGCAAGAGCTGTCTTCTTGATCCTACAGTTCACTGTTGTGCTGGATGTAGTTCCTGGCTTTGCTAGGAGACCAGTAGTAACTTGCTACAGAATGTGCAATCATATCAGGCTCAGACAGCAGCACATTTGATTAAATACCAGATATCTGCTGAAAGTTTTCCAGACCTCATTATGGTTGATGTGAGCTCTCATGCTCAAATGCTATTTCTCCATTTCCCAAGATTTCTTTTAGTCTTTTTCAGACATTTTATGACATAACCAGAGAGCTTTCATAAAGAGCCTTATCGCTTGTAGGAAGAGGTGCAGCTGCCTTTTAATAAAAATCACTATATTTTTGTTGGCCGTAATTAAATGAAGATAGGGGTTCCTTCTTGAAGAGACGGAAGGACTGATTAGTCTTTGGCATCCCCTCCTTGATTAATATTTCTGGGCTCTAACCAACCAACCTGGCAAGCAAAAGCACTGCAACAACAACAAAATAATCTAAATTAATGGAAAAGGTACAAGCTTTGCAGTTTAGCACACAGGGAAGGATGGTCATTGGAATGAGCTTGTACAGCTCTGCACAGGAAGAAGCGCAGTGGGGCCAAAGAACAGTGAGCATCCCATCCTTCAATCTGATAAAGCAGACCACTAAATCCAACACAACTTCTGTCTGCAGCAACACATACACATGACACAGCACAAAAGTTACACAAGTTACAGACATGCAATTGCTTTTCTTATGTGTATCTGTGCTGTAACTTTTATCTAGAAAGGAAACGATACAAAGAATGCCCTATGCAGTTCTCTTTCTGAGACTCTACTGCTTCCTTTAACCTTACTTCTCTAAAATCAATCTTTGCCCATCTACTGCAACTTTGCTTTGAGAATAGTATTAAGCCACCAAAATACTACACACATACACCTACACTGTATTTAGAAGACACTTTAACTAAAATGAAATTTTCAGATTTCTGTAGGGTTGTACATTAACCCTCACCCTGTTATGGTCCAGCAAGAGCATACAACATTTTTAGCACTTCCCCTTACTACCCTAATGAGTCTCTTGAGCCAGCCTTCCTCCACCAGGCGCCATAAAAGGCAAAGTAAGTGCTCAATTGTAACTACAGAAATTTGTAGAAAAACTATATGAGGTCAATAAATTAACAAGTTAAGCAAAAAAATAAAATAACATTCAAGACTATCAATGTAAAACCCTCAACACTAACAACAGATACATCAAACTAATTCCTAAAAAGCTGTTTCATGACAAAGCTGCCAGCAGAGACCAGTGATGATGTTTCAGCAACCAGTATGCCAGAAAATCTATGTTCTGAACCAAGGACTTTATTGATTTCAGTTGTCTTTAACTGAGAACCTTGTAATTCAAAATGAATGCTCTGCCATGGAAGAGATCCCTTGCTTCTGACACACACTTCGTCTATTGATTTGGCAGAGCCTACATTAAGCCAACCCTCACTGGCTTGTAATTAACTGACTAAGTTAAACCCACAACAGGGACATCCCAGCAGTTTATAAAGTAGCAAGTATTTTGAAAGTTTGATAAGGAAATGCTCAGCTTTCTCTGTGCCCATCACAGCCACAGCAGCCTCCCAGCTCACCAGTCTCACAGCAGGCTGTTGGCAAGACGTTCTGCTGCAAGGCAGAGAAAACAGCTCATAAGCTGAAAATGATTTTATGATCCCCAGAACAGAGCTGATGCACAAGTGAATTACAAAGAGGATATTATTTCCCTTCTTTGCCCAACCAGTTTATCAAATTCTTTCCTTCTTCTCCCTATTAAAAAAGACTGCTAAAAGAGCTCATCCTCATAGCTGACATTTTGCAAATCTCTATTCCTTGTTGCAAAGGTCACGTGTGTGAAAACCAAGCATCTTTTAATAAAATAGCCTTTGTGCTTGTTCATCCACTAAAGGATGGGGACTCCTTTTGCTTTCACAGAGGAAGATGATGGAACACAACAGAATTAAAGAACTGTGTTGGTGCAGAAGAACTACAGAAAAACAACCTGTCATATGGATCTGATCTGTATGCTCTTCAAAGCTTCACTTACTATAGCATCGCCTCTTTTTAATTTCCTTCATTTAAATCCACCTTCAAAATTTATGCTATCCTAAAAAATGCCCCTTTTTCAGTAGCTCTCCTATTCATATGTCACGCAATCCCAAGGTGTTTGTAACAGAAGAAAGGACAATTCACTGAAATCTCAGAATAACAAAACTTGCAGCAGTCCAATGTATTCACTCAAAACTAAGTTCAACCACACAAGCTCACTTTGCTACCATCCTCTAGCCTTCTTCCTGCACTTCAGTAGCCCTTTTTGTCCCTAAAATTCTCATTTATTACGCTCCAACTAAAACACAAACATTTGTTGGAGGCAGTATACCATAATTTACCATAATACATCTCTTTCTTCCCCTTTTTCCAAATACCTCCCTTCTGAATGGATGATCTGTCCATTTAAGGAAACGCTCATGTCTTAACAAAACTCAGTCTTACTAACAGCTGCATATCTGGGACCACATCTGGGACATACAAGACTGTTGACAACACCAGTGTTGGCAATATTTCACAAAGTAGAACACAATACTGATAGGATGACGACAATGCAGATATACAGTGTGTCATTATGACCTGGTCTTGTCGATACAGAATTAAAAGGAAAAAACAACAAGCAAACATCTTTATCCTCAATATCATCTTACAACAAAAAGTACATTGGGATATTCATGTACGTATGACGTACATTTTAAAAGGCATTACAACTCAGCTGTCCATATTATTAGACAGATGAATACTGATTAAGCCCCATCTCTATTGCATAAACAGGCATTTTTTTAAAGGCTTTCATGAGCATATTCTGCATTTCTGTTTTGCATACAAGGTAGGAGCAGAACACAAAACAAGTTGTGACCAGCTAAGGATCAGGACAAACAGTAAGAACAAAGGCAAGGACGTATCTGTTTCTTAGCCGATTGTAATTCAGTTGTACGATTGGATGAACTCACAGGATGAGAAGCATCTTCCAGGGTTTTTTTTATCTAGACTGTAAAATATTGCATAGAGCACTGCACACAGTGCAATGTGGAGTGGTGCAAAACCAACAAGGATTGCCATTCACCACAGCTTATTTGCTTCTATAACCTTTGTTAATGAGTAGATAACTTTTTAGGAAACAGACTGCATCAGCAGCACCCCATTCACAACACAGGAGTGGCTGAATTTAGGGAGATTCTTATTCTGAGCAGCAGCATTGAAAAAGCAAATATAAGCAAGCAGATACTGTGATACAAGCCTTTAGAACATAAAGCATAAAGAATAAAGGCAATCCAAACTCAATAGTCCTTGAGAGCGCTAGATTGTTCTAAGTATGCACAAATTTTGAGAGCAAGATGGTCTGGCAGCTCACTTACCAGAATGATGAGCTGCCAGGGCATACTCCTCTACCTAGGCACCATGCAAAAAGATGCATGCAACTGTTCGTATTCTGTGCTCTGAATATGTTAACAACATGAAGTTCCCCAGAAGAGAACATGCCAGGACCTACTGCACCACATATCCAATACACAAACTGGTTGACCTCTCAAGCTCACATGCATTTTGTAGTAAGTTCATGAGCCTGAAAAGATCTGGTACTCTGAGATTCCCCAAAAGCTTATGAACACTCACAAGATTTCAGGTCATTGTACTGAATCATCACAATTATACTCTGAAGCACTGAAATAATTAGACACCGGTCAGCCAACACAGATCACTCATGGTCTATGATTAGCTGAATATTCTTGTTCTGTGCACATGACATGCAGAACTTCTGTTCACCTGTGCCAGGGGATTTGCACATGCAGACATACATGCAGCCATGTTCATTCTGACCAAATGAACCAAACAAGGCCTCTAAAAGCTTATCATTTTCAACAGCAGAGTTTACACTGAATAATTCCTGCTAGCAAAGAACCAAATCACTGGGCACTTTTTCCTCTTATTACATTTGAGATTTTTAAAAGGAGTAGGATGAAGAGGGAGAAAGAAAAACAGCCTTAAGCATTATGAATACCTAAACTCAATGCCAAAGGCAGAAGTTAGAAATCAGAGCAAATCAGTTGTTAACTTGTCTTCTCTGCTGTGACTTGGAACAATGTATTACTTAATTGAGAATTGAGCCATTTTTTGAGTCAAAGAAGCATCTCTTTCAGCACAAAAACCTAAATAGCCATTGCTGACATACCTTTCCTGAGTCAACTAGTTGTGCAATTTCATCCAAACTTGGTCCACTTGGCATAAAGAAGGCCCACCGATAATGGACTCCTTTCAAGAGATGCTGCAAGAAAGATCACAAATATATTTTTTAAATAACGAGAGAAAACTGAAATGGGAACTGAAAGTAAGGACAGAAGCATCAGAGAAACAATGTAATGGAAAAATACGGACATTATTTGCTAGTGTCTAAAAAAGAAAAAGTTATCTAAGCACGCGGATTAAATGCACAGACAGGGATGCTGTATTACCACAATAGGATCAGGGTGAATTTTGTGCCCAGCTGCAAAAGTCAGCTAGTTGAACAAAACAACCACCTTGTCTCTGCAGCTGGAAATAGCATTATTTCTTATGTAAGAGAGAAATGGCGCTATATGTTTATACACATTCACAAAGAGGGTGAAATAAATCTACCAATATGACATTTAGAACTTTCCACCTCAGTGTCAGTGATTAAATTTTCCACCATCATATCTGCCAAAGTCGTCACCATCTGATGACAGATGGCAGCTCACACAAAAAGCATTCCAGGAAGATCACACAAACAAGTCAAGAGCGCCTTCTTTGAGAAAGCTGTTATAGGCATAAGTCTTCATCTGCCAAAACCAGCCAACTTTTAATGTGTGCCATACAATGCTCTTCATCGTGAAAACATGCAAACTGAGAAATCATACTATGTGGCTTCTTTCCAGGCTTTTGTTTTTGAGATTTCCTTTGAAAACATTGTTACTGGACCTTGAATCTCACTCAGCCTCATCACAGAAATACCATGGAAACAACTTGAAAAGCAGTCACTTGGATAGTAAGTACGCATGTTGAGAGAAGAACAAATTCTAAAAAGCCTCACTGGGAGAATGCTTTAAACTAGAAAAATCAGTATCACCATCCAGCCACACAAACATGGAAGAGATGAAAGACTTTTTAGCCACTCTCAGTCACTTTTATTACTCTGTGATGCTGGTATAGGATGAAGAAAATCAGTAAGTGTTTTGAGAGAAACCCTGGCCAGCCTAAGGCAAGTAGTAAAACCACCCGTACTTCAACAAGGCAGGGATTTCTTCTGTTTGCTATAAAGTGCTGGCTGACAGCAAGATCCCTAGGAGGCCACATGGAAAAGGCAACACACAATAAGGCATCAAGACTACAAAGCACCCTAGACTACAACATATGTATATATGAGGACAATGCTGGTTTTTGTTGGTTTTGTTTTTTTGGTGCAAGACAGAAGGAGACAGAATCAAAATGCATCTGAAGTATACTTAATGATGCGTGAGGAAAATGAGAAAGATGTCTCCAGATGAACTGCACGACTAGTGCCTAAGCCACAAAGGAAGCCATGAGGGTATAGCACAACATTCAAGAATATGGGATTTTGTCAAATACCTTCATGGTTTTGGAGCCTATCGTGACTCCAGTTCGCAGCATGCCATCAGCCACTCCAAGTTTGTCCATGTTGATCAAGAAAGGTGTCACTAAGGTAACGTATGTTGCTCCCGACCATTTCTTCAAGAGATCTAGTGCCCACTTCTCAGTGGATCCACCAACATTATCTAGGATGAAATCAAATCTGGAGACGTGTAAAGAACAGGCTCAAAGTCACGATACAGGGAAAATAATCATAAATGAACTAATATATGAAACTGTTGTAGTTCACATTTCTACCTGTCACTGCAGTACATTAAAATAATCCACCTGCAAGACAGCAGCAAGCAAACCCTATGACTTCAACTAAATCCCAGCTTTATTATAGGAAGGAAGTTAAAGTTACAGGTTATTGTCCATTCACCGCATAGCAGATAGAGGCTGTTTCAATAATTAAATGGCCCCTAACTCCAAAAAGCAGACTCTCTGATGCACAATAAGATTCTCTATTTGCTTGAAGTCTTCTAGAGCTTTCTCTCTTCATCCCTCCAACTGAAATTACTGAAACATTTTTCAGGCCTGGTCCTACCATTCAACAAAATGCTATGTATGTCTGAAGTCTGGTCTGGACTCCTGCCCTGACTAGGAACATCTTCTGTTCATGCTGTATTCACATGGAAGCTAGTTCCAGTGGTCAAAGTTACATAAACAAATTATTGACATTTTATCTCTACTGACAGCATCTTCTCTCTACATCTCCCTTCTTGAAGCAGATCTTCAAAGAAAAGGGTCTAAAATCATTTCTTCACATTATGGTTATATACAACCGCTGGCAACAAGCCACACTTTCAGCATTTGTTCTTATTATCCCAGCACATGAACCTGTAAGGGCTGAATGTGGCAACTGGGAGCAACTGTACCTATTCTGTTAGATACACAGCTCATTCTCATCTGTACATTTTCAGCGATCTCCTTAGGAACAGATGCACTATAGATTATGGAAATAAATAATTGATCATATAAATGCATATATCTCATCTAGCAAATCCACAAATAAAAAGAAAAATACGTAAATAAATGGAAAATTTCTTATCTCTAGAAAGAGTTTTCCTGACTGTCTTCCAAGGGTGTGATTTCATGTTATAGTTGAGTTAATCTAAAAGCTGTCAACAAAACAGGAATTAATGCAATGAAAACTAATGGTCCAGAAAAAAACAACTCACTATGGAGTCTGAAGAGTCAATACAATTGAAAAGAGAAGGGCTATAGGATCCTTCCTCTCAGTATACACAAGTGATGGGCTTAACTACATCACAAAACTTATTCATATAAAGGTTCACAGCTCCTAAAAATGGCTGTTTGCTAGAATGGATGTTTAGCACTTTTCACTCCCAGCTATGTTGCACAGTGCCTACAGGAGTGGAGGCAAGTCATAAAATTGCTTCCTGACATAATTCTTCCCTGCAGAAGGTAGGTTTTTCTATTTAGGAACCTCACAGAGGATTCCTGAGACTTGTTTTGATTTATTCATGCCTTTTTAAGCACTCCCAGATCATACAATGGAAGCTGACAAACCTGATCAAATCATGGCCATTAGAAGCACATGAAAATGTGAGCTTGTCTCCATAAACCCAATTAACTGGCTTAATCTTACAATGAAATCTGTGCTTGCAAAACTCACTTGGCAAATAACGTTCAAAAAAAGGGCAAGGATGAATTTGCTTTAGGAAATAAGGCTTTGGAAGTGGGAAGAAAAAGGGAAAAGGAAAAGGAAAAGAGGGAGTCCTGACAGACTGCAGCCCAGAATCAAAAGGCAGAAGAACTGATGGCCAACCCCTTCATCTGAGTATTAAGCAATGCAAACACATACGAGGGTAAGGTTTTAAGCTGCTGTTCCAAATTTCCAGATTTGTAATCAATCACATCATCTGCTCCAAGCTTTTTCATCAGTGTGCTAGCATCGTGGGAACAAACTGCTGTCACATGAGCACCCCAGGCCTTCACTAGCTAGAAACAGGAAAAGAGAAAAAAAGAAAAAAGGAGGTAAAGGTTTAAAATCTAGTGAGAAATACTTAAAAAGAAAAAAATATCATTATTATATTAAACAAGGTAACGTATCACATATCAAACAATGGTTAGAACTTACTGATATTTAAGGCAAATGGTAGAGGATTGAGTTGGGGTGGCTGAAGGAGGATTTTTCATGCAATTTGCAAATACCAGCTCTCAGGATAAATAAGACTTCAAATAAAATACTCAGTTTGTTTTCTGAATCTGGTAATTGAGACTATTCATTTTTAAACCTAACAATCTATAAAACTGTCAGCAGATCAACCACTGCAGGGATTTAATTTTATCTGCCTACCTGCTCATTAAGTATTCCATACCTCTATCTTGCTGTAAATAAAGTACTAATAATGAGAAAAAGTAATCTCTGATTTATCTCAAGGAGCAGGTCAGGTTAGCTCTTCTGCTTCAGAACTTAAAGCAAAGAAAAGGATTTCTGCTAGTTATTCATCTCTTCTGTAAATCTCATTCAAAAGATTCACACTAATTTTGTTTTTAATTGACTCTGGATTAATTAATAATTAATCATAAGATTAATTAGGTAAAAATCACAACTAGTAGATGGTTGGATAGCCTTTCCCACTGATCTAACTTATCCACCTGTTTTACCATGGATCAGGCAAACAGTGTACCACTAAAACTCTCCTGAGAGCTTCTTAAAACCATTATGTTTATGGTCCTGTAACACAGAACATAATGATGCAATCACTCAAGATATATTTTTTTTTAGATTCTCAAGAAAATGCTATTTCTACAGAAGGTGACACCAGTTAGAATAAAAATCCCTGAATTAAATGAGAGCATACAAGGAGGATGTTCCACAATTAAAGATATTCAGTAGAAGACTGGTCAGCTAAAGACTGTTGACTCTCATAAGGTTAGGGCAACTGGAAAGAAGGAATGCAAGAAGGCAACAAGGCAAAAACAATGATGGAATGTTAATGTAAGCCACTATGCTTTCCCTAGACTGCTCATGAAAGCCTCATGCCTCCAGTATCACTGTCCACCCACAACAGTTATAATTGCTACCATTTTACAGACGATCACAATTGCAATCATCTACACACTCCATCATTTTTCTACTCATATGCCAAGTTCTTTTCATATTTATGGAGCAGAGATGACTGAAAGAGAATGAGAACAAGTGACAAATTTCAAGTTTTGCAAATTAAGAGATTTTGAATGCCCCCCTCCCTGAAGGGCTCAAGGCCAGGCTGGATGGGCTTTGAGCAACGTGGTCTAGAAGGAGGCGTCCTTGCCTATAGCAGGGAGGTAGAATGATCTTAAAGGTCCCTTCCAACCCAGTCCATCCTATGATTCTATGAATCCTGCACTTAATGTGCTCTATTAGTAACTACACTCCCTATCCCATTATTTTAAAGCCCTCTTCTTCCTACTAACACAATGTAACAAAACAGAATGGAGCAAGTCCCAAAACTTCTGGAGCTCTGACAGCTCAATGGGTGGCTTCATATTTCAGTCCCTCAACTCCCTTCCTTTCTTTGTACTGAACAGTCTGAAGATGCACCCTGGGCATGCTGTGTTATATTACCTGTACAGCAAATGTGCCAACTCCTCCAGAAGCTCCTAATATTAACACTCTGTAAGAGAAAATGAACATTTATTGAATAGATCTTCAAACAAACAGTATAGCAACTATTTATTCTTATATATCTCCAACACCAAATCACTATAAGCAAAACACTTATTTGTCATCGAGTATTACTTTATGGTTAACTCTTCAGATACCTAATAATATGATTTAACACAGCTCTCATCCTGCTTCCTGTGCCAAGAGCATTATCTCATTGCAGCCATATTGACTTCCTCATATGTGCTTTCCACTAATTCCAGGCAGTGGAGCTGTCAACATTTATCACGACAAAAAGATAATCCTGTCTCTGTCCACACTTTCCCAAATTTAATTGCTTAGTTTGGAACAAAGTCAGTAAGAATCTTTCTGTCTCCCAGACTCTGCTGTCACTTTTCCTAAAGCAAAAATTAGATCTTGCTAACATTTTCCACAAATTGCTGCTATCTAGCAGAAGTAGTTCAGTGTCACATTACTTAGAGAGACCAAGGACTTCAGAATATATGGAACATAATTTTCCAGTATCACTGAACATTTATCTAAAAGACAAACAACAGTGTTGCAGCCTCACTATACAAGTTCTATTAAACTATCTGAAGAAAACAGCAGAATTGTACTAGTTCAGTGCATCTCAGCAAAACCCTGTAAAATGCCCACTTCTTGAAATTAGTAAACCACTAAGAAAACAAAGATGCATATCACTAAATTATTATCAAATGAGAGTTCATTTTAATTGAACCCATTGTCCTAAATTTCATACAAATGAATGCAATCTCAAAGGTGTGAAAATCTTAAAGCTACAGCAGCCTAATCAAAAATTACACCTAAGTATTTTTATTAATTAGCTAAACTTCAAATAGGGAATCAGTAATAAAGCCTTGCAAGCAAAGCTACAAATGGTGTTTCAACTTTGGACTCATTTACTAATTCTAGAACAAAAGTTACATCCAAGATGAAGTCTTGGCATAGGGCTATGGAGAATCATGTTTCCCAGAACTTCTGTTTGCCAGAAAAGTTTCAGCATTTTCAAAAGCTGGTGATGTTCCTGTTTTACATCTCACCATGCTGGATGCTGAGGGAAATGGCTTTTACAATGCAAAATTGCACTAGACAATCTAGAGTATCAGTTGACAAAAATTCTTTGAAGTAACCTAAGAGTCCTGGCTTTGGTCACAGTATCCATTCTAAAATGGATACTCCTTTGAAACTCATCAGATTCTATTCCCTATTTCACTCATCTAAACTTGTAGAGTTCAGATGAAGAATTTGAAACCACAATGCCTGCTGCTTTGAAACCTGCCAAAATGTACTTATGCTCAGAACCATGCTTCTAACAACAGATGTCTGAAGCAACATTTATATTCAGATCTGATTATCCTTGAAAAGTCTCAGGGATACCATGCTCAAGATACTGGGTTTAGCTCATCTTTATCGCTACAAGAGACAGCTACCCTTAACTCCTTCCAAGATGCCCCCCCCCCCCAAACAAAAAAAAACACACCCTGTCAAACTGTCTTTCCAATTTTACTCCTTGCCTAAAGGGCATTTCCTCCATTGCAGAATTTGAAGAAAGCTGTAACTTCAAGATGTGCATTTTGCTCAAGGACTGATGCAACACGTTCAACCGTGGGGAGCTGCTTGGCTATGGCTTCAATAAACATGCTCACTATTCCCAAAGTAGAAGTAAGGTCCAGATTTATTTTATTTCTATGTTACCTGGGCTATTTCTAACCAAAATTTTTAATTATTAGAACTTCATACACACTGACCTTAAGAAAGCTCTGATTTCACAGAATCACAGAATGGCCAGGATTGGAAGGGACCTCAAGGATCATGAATCTCCAACCCCCCTGCCACATGCAGGGCCACCAACCTCCCCATTTAATACTAGACCAGGCTGCCAAGTGACTCACACCACAAAGCAAGTCACCACCCTCACACACACTGCACAGCACTTGCCCTGGGCTGTGTGCATGCTGCTGTGGCCATCACACACCTGCATGCATGCTTTCAACACAGAAATCCTTGTATAATCAGGAGGTATGTGTGCCACAGCTCAGCAGCTCAGCGTTTTGTACAGTGCTGAAGACAGGGCACACTGCTTGGTGTAACTTAAGGATGTGGGAAAGCGTTTGACAGTGTAAGAGCTGTTAAAAAATAAAGCCAAATTTCATTTGATTATGCCAACAAAACGTCCCTAAACATTTATTCTTGCAGCAAGGAGTGTGACCCTATCGAAAATTATTGCAACCTATACTCACTTTGAAATTCTCATCAGATAAAATGATGAAATAACACACTCTCTGAAGAAAAAACCTGGGTTACTGTATCATTTCAATTTTCATTGCAAACATGTAAACCAGGAGTGTAATTTTAACAACCCCCCATAGCATAATCCCAATGTACCTCTTCCCAGTAAACTCCAACATAAAGATGTTTACCCTGCATTTAGATGAAGACCCTCATTCCTTATCAAAATAAAAGCTTTCAAGGCCTTCCCAAATGGTCACGTTTTAACATGCTTTTTGTGAATACAGCAAGGAAGGTTTATCAGCTTCTGTTGAACAACCATATTCCCTTTCTACTGAAGCAGGAGCCTCACCCACAAGGAGTTCATCAGGTTATTATCCAGAAAGAACTTGAAAACCACAGAGTCATTCTTGACATCCTGGACAACAAGCAATTCATTTTTACCTTGTGCAAGAACACTGATGTAAATTACAATGATTTAGGATAAAAGCTGTGGCAAAATGACTAGAGCTGCAGTGAAGCAGCAGACACCACAAACAATGTGAGCACACTTCAGGTAACTCATAAAAACAAAGTTGGGAAAAGTGCAGCAGATTGTCCCATCAGATCAGGGTACAGGGAACACACTGTGGGACTGACAGCAAGTACTTGTGGTTAGCCCACCCTTCCACCTTAGAGAGGCAAAGAAAACAATACACACCAGTAGAAACACTTGTTGTTTCTAAGATGCCTTAATACTGCAATAAAGTACCAGTGAAGGAGTTTTCCTCAAGGAATACAGGTACTTTTTCAAAATAAGACACACTTTCATACACCCTCCTAAATAGCTATTTACACACACCTACAGGAGACAAAAAGGCCAATGTAAAAAACTCATGCAGGCAACTTCTTACTAACACATTCAATTATTATGAGAAATTAAGAAGCGTGAGGTAAGTTGTTGCCTCACAAGATCACTGCTTTGAATTTTTATTTTTTCAGTGCCAGAACAATTACATACTTGTTAGGAACCTAAAAGTAAATGTTATATGTGAAGAGGTGGTGTAACTGCAGTTTGCATTTCATTTTTAACAATCTAAACACTTACCTGAAGATTGGCAAGATACTATACTCTAAATAAGGTTAGCCCATCAACAGATTTCTAGGTTAATTCTATTTACATATGAAAGTTAAGATAACAAAAAATAATCTAAATACTTAAGAAAGAAAAAAAAAAGATGGTACATTCAGAATGTTATCACTAGCTGGAAGTTAATTTCAAAGATGTCTTTGAAATTATTTCAGATTTTGCAATTTGTTTCCCCAGAACATTATATTTAGAGCAAACAATGAATTTGTATTTTTGTGATGAAATTTACCATGACACATAAAAAACCAATCTCTCAATTACTTTCTAAAGAGGTGAGTGAAGAATTTCAGTAAATCTGGTATCCTTTGCTATGTGTTGCATTACAACAGTACACATCCCAGACGGGAGGAGGTCAGGTACCTAGATTCCTATTGCCCAATTATTCTTTTATGAAAAACTTTTGAGATAGCATCGTAGCTTTAGTACCTATTTACACATCTCCTTATGAGGCAAAAAGTCTGCTCCAGTCTTTCAAAGTATTTATCCTCTCCTGACCCTCACCTGCCATTGTCAGACTAACAAGCTGACAAAGCCAATTTTTTTCTGTTTGGCTGCTAGTCTTGCCTGTTTTCCCCTCCTCTTCTACCTTCCTGGCCTTATGAAATGAGTTCTGTCCTACTGGTCAAATGAGACCCAGTCATTTTTTTCCAAAAAGCTGGCAAACCAGCCTGCCCTAAATTGTTCCTGCATACAGGAGTGAATCTCAGTGAAACACACCTCTGTGATTGAGAAGACCTTTTGTGAGCTGATGAGAGAATATTATATCTGGGCAGCTGTCTTGCAAGCAGAAAGGCAGTCCCAATAAATTCTTAAAGATCCAATCCTTAAATTATCCATATAGTCACACGGAGTACACATACATTAGACTCTTTTTATATAGTCACTCTATAAAGGAAGAGAGGCAGTGCCAGCAAGTGGCCTTAAAACATAAGTTAGGCTGAATCTCACTCTGAAATAGCCTCTTCCTTAGCAGCTGCACAGACTGAACCTGGCATCTTCAGGCCAGCTGATCTTTGTGAATGCCATGGCATAACAGCCTTCAGCACTGCTAAACATGTCTTACAAGCTGCTGATCAGCATAAAAAAGAAACACTGTATTTTAGCACCAGCACTGGGTAAGTAACTAAGTTACTTACCTTTTCCCGCTGCAATTACTTTGGTTCAGTCCTCCAACATTGTTAATTGCAGACCACGCTGTGAGACCTACATACGGTAAGGAGGCAGCTTCTACGTGACTGAGACATTTTGGCTTAAAAGATACCTGAAATAAAATCAGTCTTATCTAAATCACACAGTGGATCCTATGTGATACTGAAAAATTTAAATCAGCTTTACTGAATTGCAAATAGTCTGTTGCATATTTTCAATTATGCCTAGCAGGAGTGTTGATCAAGTCAAATATCATGAAATGGACAGCTATTCAGGCATCAAAGGAAAAAAAAGAGGAGAACATCAGTATTTACAATTTTGTTTCTCATCTGTTATCCACATTTTTGCAGGTTTACCTCATTTGCACTAGCTACCACAAACTCTGAGAGAGTGCCTTGTTTCCACGGAGGAATTGCTCCCCATACCTAAAAACAAACAGAAAACAACTACCAATTTCTGTGTGCAATATTATACCCATGTGGAAAAGTTACATTCAGGACGGAAATCCTATTTCAATTTGCCAAAAATTCAAAATCAAAAGAGAAATTAACTTGCAGACACAAGTTAGGGAAAAGTGTTTGTCAGAGAAAAAATGTAGCAAAGACAGTGTTCTAAAAAGGTACTGCAAGACAGTCCAGATTCAGAGTGCAACAATGTAAGAACTTTCTTACTAGGGAAAGGCAGCTGAATAGCTCATGGTATAGTTTAACTACGTGCTTTTAGGAAAAAAGAAAAGACCAGATTAGTGGTATCACCTCATCTCCAGGTTTGAAATAAGACACACTCAGTCCACATTCCATGATAACACCTGAGACATCTCGACCGAGTGTTAGTGGGAATTCAGTGTCCAGGCTCTTGATTTTCAGGGGATCCCGCTTCATATTTAATGCAGTTGCACCGTAACCACCTAGAAAACATGCAATCAGCCATTACCTTGGTGGGATTTAATCCATTAACTGGATAATTCCATTTAGAAAGAATCGTCTGAAAACAATGCCCCATTTTCAGCACATTCTGCATTTCTCTTAGAATTTAAATATGCACAAAATCTGCAGTACTTGGGGATTTTACGAGTGATAAGGAAATCTTAATTACAGCTTTCTCACCCACCCCCAACAAAGAGCACGCAGGATACAAATCACCACATAACAATTCAACAAATCGTTGCTGTGATTTAATTAGACCACATAAAACGGCTGCCAGCAACGCTGGCAGAAATCCTAAGAGTTCTGCTGTACGTGCTCCATTTCCGACATCACACAAGTAGGAATCCAAAGGAACAGGTAAACGTGTGCGATTATGGGACACCGCACACCTAATAACAGCCCGCCATCTCACACCCCGCCTCTCAGAAGCGCCGTTAGGGCCGCTGGTGCCCCGCCACTTACTTCTCATGCTAAGGTCTATGGGGTTCAAGCTGGCGGCGTGCACCTTAACAATGACCTCGTTGGGGTACTGTATGGCGGGGAACACCATGTCCCGGGTGAAGCGCAGCACCTCGTTGCGGCCGTACCGGTCGATGACCCACGAGGGCATGGCGGACCGCGCCCTCGGAGAGACGCGGAGGCCGCGCACCGGAGGCCGCTGCCCGCCCCGCCGCGCCGCACAGCGCAGCGCTCTCCGCGCCAGCATGGCCGGGAGCGGACCCCGCCGCCACCGCGTCCCGCTCTCCGTCCCCGCCGGGCGTCTCGCAGATCCTCAGCGCCCCTTCGGTGGCCCGGACCAATGGGCGGCCGCCGTCTTGGCCGCTCCGCCAATGGCGTCGCTCGGTGTTGCGGCAAAGATGGCGGCGCCCAGGCGCTCAGCGCAGCGCCGGGACGGGGCGGGAGAGGGGTCGTAGCGGTGTGAGGCCGCGGGGAGCGAGCCGCCATGCTGCGCGCTTCTCTGCGCCAGGTGAGCGGCCCCGGGCCGAGCGGTGCGGTGCGGTGCGGTGCGGTGCGGTGCGGGTGCTGCGCTCGGGCGGCGGGGCGGGCTCAAGGTGACCGCGGCTCGCGGGGCCGATCGTGTCCACGCAGGGACGCGTTTTGTTGCCGGGACGCGCTGGGTTGGGGTCTGGTAGCAGCTGCGTGCCGCTGACAGCTGTCGCTGCCCTTTCAGATCTCAGCAGCGCTAAAGGAAGGACAGGTCACCCCCACAGAGCTCTGCCAGAGGTGCCTCGCTCTCATCAGAAGCACCCAATTTCTCAACGCCTACATTACGGTAGCGGAAGAAAGTGCATTAAAGCAGGCTGAGGAGTCGGAGAAAAGATACCGAAGAGGTACGGCTGCCTGTTTATAGGGCTGGCGCTCCTGGTGGAAGAGTGCTTTTGTTGTACATTGCATCTGTGCGTGTGCCAGGTGGGCGGATGTGCTGGCTCTTGGGATGGAGTGGGTGCAGGCAGCACCCAGGGCTGAGATAAGCATGATGTCGTCTCATTGGAAGCAACAAGGACTCTGCTGGGGCAGCTGACCTGACTGAAAGCAGCTGCCTTAGGACTAGCTGTGCCTTGCAGGGACTGCTCTGGGCATAGTGCTTATAGGAGTTCTAGGCAATGGGTCTTGAGAATGTAACAGACACCCATCAAATGCTAAATGGATAGCTCTTGTGCTTGCAAAAAGCACCAGAAGTGACACGTAAAGTAAATTGTGATTGACTGTACATAACACACTGATGTAATCTCTGTGGTCTTTGGAATAATTCTTAACGCAGGTCAGCCACTGGGTGAGCTGGATGGAATTCCCATTGCGGTGAAGGACAACTTTAATACAGCTGGCATTGAGACAACATGTGCATCAAACATGCTAAAAGGTACAGTATGAAAGGTGCAGTAGAGCTTTTAAGGTGAAGTTGGAGCTCTGGCTCTTCTCCTCAGAGGCTTTGTGGAGTGAAGTCTTCCAGAGATCCAAATGAGCTGAGCTGATTTGAGGAAATGTGTTTATCTGATTTCCTCTGTCAAGATCATCTAGTATTACAGGTGTATCTTTTTTTTATGCAAGTGCATTTTCTCCTTTATTCATGTGGCTACGCTGCCATTAACAGTGCAGTGGTTATTCTGGGCCTATCTAAATGGAGTCATTCTGTAGTTCACATTTTCATGTTACACTTAGATTTACACAGGAGAGCAGACAGTAGTGTTTGCTGTTGTGTCCAGCAAAATGCAGACAGTCCTTTTGTGTTCTGTTTATAACTGTCGCATTATGTAGTGCTTTCAAATTGCTGTAGGAAGAGTAGATATTAACAATTCTCTGCATTCCTGCTTTACAGAACAGGTCTGTATGACTTTTTGATTCTTAAAAATTTTCCAAGCTTATTGTTTCTATTAACACTCCAGGAAAATTTTCAAGATATTCTAATGTTTCTCTAGTGAAAGTGAAAGTAGTAAACATTTCTTATTATCTTCTTCATTCTGCATAAAGTAAAACTTTGAAGTATTGAGAAAGACAAACTTCTGCTGATTTACTTGAGCTAATCCTATTACCTTAAACAGGAGAAACAAAAGATGGTATTGCAATTTAAAGAATATGTTCCATTACCTGAGATGTTTTTCCTTAAGCACGTTCTCAGACCCACTGTGCTTTATTGTAGAGTAATGGTAGAGAGTTTTAGGAGTGATGCTCTCCTTGTTCCAGCTGAGAGTGGGGGTGGAGAAATCACTGTCATTATTCACAGAAGAAGTTAGTTGTAACCCAGGATCTCGTGGAAGTGGCACGGAACTCACTGTAGTTTATATGAGGTCAAAGTGGCTGAAGGTGCACACGCTTGGTTCATAGCCAGTTTGTATTTCAGCTTGTGATTAACAATATGCTCCCCCATCTCATGGTAATGGGAATAATTTGAGATAGCTTCGCACTCGTCTGCAAATTGCCCAAATGCCATAATTTGCTACTGCTGTGGTAACTTGTTTGTGTGAAGGCTTAGTTCCACCTTCTGGAAATGTATAATCCAGAATGACTGGATTGTAAATTGTGGAGGGGGGAAAAAAGAAGAGCATTACAGACAAAACAGTATTTAGTTTACTTTTGTTAAATCTTGAGAATTACCCATATTGTCTATTGAAGCAAAATTTGGGTACTGGAGATAAAAAGATAACTTTTATGCACAAATAGTGACAAATTTGAAGTGTTAGAAGAGTAACTACTTTTAGAAATCAATCATATCTTATCAACCATTCCCTTAACTGTTTTGATTGCTTTCAGGTTATATCTCTCCTTACAATGCTACAGTGGTTCAGAAATTACTGGATCGGGGAGCTGTGCTTTTAGGAAAAACAAACCTAGATGAATTTGCAATGGGGTGAGTGATGTTTATTATTTTTAACATGTGATTCTACATTAAACAGATTACACACCATCTGTTCTGATCTGTCCATAATCCTTAAACTCTGCTTTCTATCATGTTAGAAAATAACAAACGTTAATCTGCAAAGAGAATTTAGAGGTGCCTGAATTTCTCAAATATTGCATGAACATTTTTACTGTTGTGTAAATTATCTGCATGTCAATTTTTTTAAGAACATAGAGTTCAACTATGGCTATGTTTGAGGGGAAAGAGTAGTGTAGCCTTTGCAGAAAGCAGAGGGACAAACAGACTTGCATATCCAGTAGCAAGTAGATCTGGTTACCACACTGGCTATTTGCTGACTTTTTTTTTCTGCTTTCCTACTGGTGGTTTCTGCCCTTAACTAATTATTGTTATAGCCTTGATGACAGTTACCATCTCTCCCACCACTGGATTAACATGTATGAGTACTCTGATTTGTTGTGAACGGGATAATTTAGAGCAACACATTGAATTGCCTATGTTACTGTTGCCTAATATTGGTGAATTCTGCTAGGAAAAAAAATTGGAAAATACTGTCACAAATTTGTTCTCTGACAAATCAGTGAAGGCAGCAGTATGCAGTAGCCTGGGGCAGGCCTGAGCAGAGACAGGAGCCTCTCTCACCAGATCTGCTGGATAATGAAAGATATGGTTTACTGGCCATGGTGGTAACGGGTTGACGGTTGGACTAGATGATCTTAAAGGTCTTTTCCAACCTTAACAATTCTGTCAATGTCCAGGACTTCAGCTACCAATGAGAAACATTGTGTTGCATTTTGGCTTTGTTTTTATTTTACCTAAGCCAAAGGCATAGGTTTGGTTGGGTTAAAATACTTTGATTGGATCATTTTGGATAAAGTCATTTCCATGTCAGAGACATGCCTCAGAGGGAAAGCAGGGAAAAAGCAAAGGAGAAGAAAAAGCAACCAAACCCCTTCATTACGGAGGGCTAGAAGTAATCTAAGCTCACTAAAGCACAGAATTTTTCTAATAAGGGTTATCTCACCCCCAGCCTCTCATTTCTGTACTGTGTATCTGCACGGTCTCATGCCATCACCACCATGGCTGCACCATCAGCTTGATGAGGAAGCTGATCCAGCTGAAAAGCAGTGTCTCAGTTAGGTTCATTTTCAACTGTGTAAACTGCCAGCTCAGTTGATCTGGCTCATAACACCAACATTATGGAGTTGGGGAACCTGAGGTGGCAGTTGCAAGGCAGGTGGAAAGCCACTCCCTGCTTCTGGTGACAGCCTGCACCTAGATTACCACAGGCTGAAACCAGATTCCAACAAGCCAGTCTAACACTCTGAAACAGCAGACTGTGACCTCAGGGGAGAGCTATAGAGCAAGTAATCGTGGGTTATTTACAGAGGAGCACTTGCTGCTGATATTGCAGGGCTTTTCCCCCTTCTCCAGAGCAGTGTCTCTGTGGTCATCTTTGTTCACTTTTTCCAAATGCAGCTTGGGAAGCCAGAATACTTTTGTTTTGTAGCAGATAGATAGTTTTATCTTTAGGTACATTAAATTTGTTTTATATTTTTGTGTTTGCATCGTTTCCAGTGGCTTTAGATCACAGAATGGCTCATGTTGGAAGGAATGTTAAAGCCCACCCATTTCCAACCCCTTGCCACCTAGGTTCTGTGGCAGAGGAGGGTCCCTTTGAAGATTTCAACTTGTACATGTTGTCTGTCTGCACTAGACTGTACATATGCCAGTCTTTTTGTGTTGAAATTGAATTTGTTAGGGTAAGGGATGAGGAACCAGATAAAGAAAAACTTGGAGAATGCAATGTGTTGTCTGTCACTTCTGTCTGTATTTGTTCTGTCTTAGATCTGGGAGTACAGATGGGGTATTTGGACCAGTCAGAAATCCCTGGAGTTATTCAAGACAGTACAAGGAAAAATTTGTACCCAGATCTGATTCTGAGCCTGAAAACTGGGTAATAACAGGAGGGAGCTCTGGAGGCAGTGCAGCTGCTGTATCGGCTTTCACGTGTTTTGCGTAAGAAGCTTTTTGGAATTGTTTTTAATGAAATGTCTTGAAATATGTTGTATGGTTTTCACTTCATAATTTTCTAATAATGTAGTTTATGGATTAAATTGTAGAAAAGATGTTGATCTTGTCTGAGATGGGAGCATTATTTGCGCTGGCTTGCAAGAATTTATTTCAACATCCCCAGTTTTTCATGGCATAGCATGAAACCAGCATGATTTCCTGTGGGCAGATTTAGGCTGATTCATTTAGAATGTTATTCAATGTACTGATGTGAGCACTGTGCACTGCGTGACGTAAAGTGATAACGGCAGTAAAGGAATGACAGCATTATTGTTATTCCCACATACTCTTAAAAATAACAGAGACACATCCTCCACCTCTTTAATTATGTTAAACATATACACA